TGTGGCTTCCACGTGACCACCTTTGATGGGATGCGGGGGAGAGCGGGGCTTCTCGACTGTGGAACAAGCACTTGTTTCCTTTAGACCAGTGGTTCTCAACCTTGGCTGCACATTAGAGTCACCTGGGAATCTTTTTAAAATCCTGATGTCTGGGCCTCATCCTCCGGAAATTCTGTTTCTTTGTTATGGGGTGGGGCCACAACATTAGTAACAAATAAACAGGATTTCCGGAGGATGAGGCCCAGACATCAGGATTTTAAAAAGATTCCCAGGTGATTCTAATGTGCAGCCGAGGTTGAGAACCCACTGCTGTAGACGCTGGGTTGGGGGATAATGAGCTGCCAGGAAAGGGAGGTTCCTGCCTGGAGCGGTCCAGAACGCAGGCCTGGAGCCCCCGACAGAAAGCCCGGCTTCCGAGGTGCCCCGGGCCTGTCTGTCCAGCGGGGACCCAGCCCAGGCATCAGGAACAAAAGCCGGCCGGGGTCGCCCCATTTCCTGTCCTCTTCGGTGGCTCACGGGGACTGGTTGACAGTTTTTTACAGTATAGAGAGTGGAAGAGAATTAGACTTGAGTCCGCAAGGCCTGGTCGCTTGCTTTGAAGTTGTCCCAGGAAAATGGGCCGTGGCGAGGCTCCAGGGCCAGGGGCCCGCCTTCCGGAGCCGCGGTGACTGCGGACGAGGGCAGGCCCCCACGGGCCCCCCGCTGGTTCACGCCTGGCCCCCAGCTGCTTCCGAACGGGACTTTCCGGGCGGGGCCCTGGTTCCCGCGCGGGTGTCTGGGGCCTGGCCTTTCCCCCCGGGGATCGGAGGCCCGCTTCCCCTGCGGAAGGGGCCCAGGAGAATTCCCGGGGCCCCCGGGGGACGCGGGGCAGAGATGGTTTTAATTAGAACTGAGGAGCTGGGAACGCAGGCGGGAGGGGAGGGACATCTTAATGAGGCTTAATGAAGCTGTCTGCTGATGGGGACAGCCTGTCCACCCCAGAGCCGCATCCCCAGCCAAGCCGGTGACAGGAAGCTCGGAGGCAGGCACAGCGTGGAAGCTGCGGAGGAGGGCGGGTGGTCGGACCCAACGCCGGGACTCCTCTCCACATTCGGCTCTTGAGGCTCACACCCCCGTGACGAGGGCCGGGCCGGGGGCCCCGTCTGAGTCGCTTCCATATCTCAGGGCCCCTCTGTGCGAGGTGTGCCTCTCAGAAGACCTGGAGGGTTTGCCGGAGGCGTCTTAGACTCAGCCTCAAGCAGGAGAATCGGGGTTGAGGTGCATTGGTCTGCGACCTCTCTGAGCCTCGACATCCCCATCCGTCCTGGGGGACAGCGTGCTCCCTCCGAGAGCTGTCGTGAGGGGCTGCTGTCGGGGGAGCACTGAGCTGTGGTGTCTGAGCCGAGTCGAACCCCACGATGTTTCCTGAAGCAACAGCCATCTCCTTAACCCCCCGCCCACCCACCGAGGAGCAGGCCTCGCCAGGGCATCTCTTCGCCAACTTCTTGGGGCATCTCTTCTCTCCCCGGCAACACCCCATCTGGAAGGTCAGAGGGGAGGAGTGAAACCCTTCCATTCTCAGGGACTTCCAGGCGGGCCCCTCCCTCCCAGGCTCAGAACGCAGCCCGGAGGACCTCTGGGAGCCGAGGTGACTTGTTTGCCGCTGTGGTTTCTGCCATTGTGTGTGGGCAGCCCTTGTCCGAGGGTGGGTCTCCCGCTTGGCCACTGCCCTTCGGATGTGCGACCGCCGTCCTGGGTGAACGGGTGTGAAAGGCACCCACCTGGGGTCGGGAAGCCACAGGACAGCGCCCCTGAGCCTCCTGGAGCGGCTTCAGCCACTGTCCCCGCCCCAAGGGGACCCAGGCTCCGGACTCCTCACCAGAGAGCCGTGCTGCACGTGGGTGTGAGGGCCCCGTGGGCTGGGTATAGCTGTGCCCTCTCTCTGCTTGGTGG